AGTTGTAAGCTGCTCAAAATGAAGTCTGGTAACTGAACTCTAGTCCTCTGGATTAGCACTAAGTGGTCTCAATCACTGAGCGATCTCTGCAGTTTCAGCCCTTCAGATTTTTATAGGACAATTCAAGAATCCCCACAAAACACACACACTACTTGGGAATGAGTACCCAATACACTCAGTCTCATTACACATCCCAGCCTTCCTTGTTCTTGCCCCTCAACACTCTTATTCCATTTGTACATTTCCTTCTCAGGTTGCAGCAAAAGAAACTATGTGCATTTTCTAAAGTCTCATTTTTTTCTCCATTTAATGTTACAGTTTAGGTAAGTCTGTGGCATTTCATACCATAAAAAGCATCCCACTAAATTGTAGTAATTAAGGTACTCTCTGTGATGACTTGGCTCTCATTCTTGGGTGACACATAACCATGCTTTACTTTTATGGAGATTGAGTTTGAGAAGGGGAGGGAGAGGGAACAGTGGTTGGTATGTAAGATGAAAAAAAAGAAATTTTTTCAACACTGTATAAATTTCTATGTGGTCAAAAATGTCTATATTTTCATGCTTCTCATTCTGAAACAGAATTCATTTCATGTCTTCTTTCTGGGCAATAAGCACTATGATCACATGAAGATTTTTAAGCTTCTCCATATCCCAAGGATTATGTCTGATCCTGTAGAGTCCAGAATGCTGGTACTGTATAGGGCTTTTCAGAGATTTTATTAGATCACTAAAGCTTTTACACTTAAGGTGGAATATAAGCACAAGTGGGAAGTAGTAACAGAAACTCAAAAGACTAAAATACCTTAAACTTGCATTTTAGAGGAGAACATTACTCTTGAATAAGTACTTTTACTTTAACTACAGTACTCAATACAAACATTACAGTTACCCTCTTTAGTACCAGGCTTGGCAAACACATCTAAAGTTTCAGCTACTTGAAGCTAGACGTAGGAGAATCACTTGGGCTCAGGTGTTTGAGGCCAGCCTAAGCAATACAGCAAGAATCACTTTTTAAGAAATAGCTATTTTTAGTTTCTGGTTACTTTTCCTTACTAAGAACATAATTTGAGAGTTGGTGATTTGAGAATGAGCTCTGTGTTCTGAGGCTGCACAAGCTTTCTCTTTCATGTGCAATTATCATTACCTGAAAACCATAGTTACAGGCAATAACCAAAACATACTCTCTTCCTGTTTTATTAGCAAATTAATATGTAGAATCATGTCTTGTAGAACCTAATATTTCTTCTTTTGCTTCTGAACGTCTCATAAAATACACCTGAGTCTGTATAGTTCCATATTTTTATATCATTAAAAATTCTCAGATGTTTAAGGTCTACTATCTGAATATTTTAGCAGGCCTGGCCAAACTGCACAACTATGGCTGATTAATGAACTGATGTTGACTAAACTTTTAAGATCCATTTTTTAAGGGGGGGACTAATGAACAATTAAAGCAGAAATCATGGCCTTTGACTCTTGTTCAACTCCATTTCAGTTGTTTGTAATAAGAATACTTGATGATAATCTCTAGTTATTTAACAATTCCATGTGCATTAAGCCAGTATAGGTTAAATTAAAAAGTGGTAATTTATAGAAAGAAGGAAATAATATTTAAAAACAAATTGAGGCTGGAAGTGTAGCTCAGTGGTAGAGTCCATGCTTACAGGTGCAAGTCCCTTTATAAAAAAATAACTAAGTCCATAAATATTAGCAATTATAATGTAAATGCTTTTTTATCCATGATTTGATTAAGTAGCTCAGACTCATATTTTTTCTTTTTTTTCCTTTTTGGTAGCATAGGTTTAAGTATTGAGTAATAATATAATAAATTGGTAGACATCATGTCAAGAAGTAGTCATTTGATAAATAGAAACTTTTAATTCATAGTTTAAATTTGTCTTCTAGGTTTTACAACCGTATTAATACTTAGTTGTGTATCCCAAGCCTTTTATTCTTCATAATTTCTAGTCAGTTCATTTTCCCATTTAAAATTTTACTCCACTATGATGATAAATAATCCCTTGATACAATGCAGCAACACTAAGACAACATTTCAATCTTTGCACACGGAGAATTCTAGTTGGTGCTTAACTATAAGCTTCACACATACTGGCTAGTGTGGATGATACTGGAAGGTACTCTGAATACTACCAGAGGAGAAAGGTAATCATCAGTATCAACAGCTATGAACTCTGTGACCTACAACAGTGACCTGCCCGAAGGATATACTGATGCATTAGTGGAACAAAGTTTTGGGTGTAACCAACCACTTTTGGATTGGAGTTAAGGTCTCTTCCACATGATGGAACCCATATCTGACACTGCAGAGGTGGCCAACAACCTGACCCTAGATATATCTTAGGCCTAGGATAAAGACCAATGCTATATAGAAATATAATAATAAAATGATTACTAACAGCATTCTGCTATATCTGTAGAACAGTGCCCCACTCAACCCACATCTAGAGGCGCTTGCTTCTTCTTGTAGTAGGTGACAATTAACAGAGGCCCACAAATGGACAAATGTGCTGAGAGTGAGAGGATTTGAAGTAATAGTCCTAAATAGGACAGCTCCAGCAAACCCCTCCTCTAGAGGCTGGACAATCTATACTGAAGAGGAGATGGAAAGACTCTAAGAGCCCGGGTTAGTGGATGACTCCAAGGAAACAGCATCTTCCAGAGACAACAGGACTGATGCACATATGCTCTCACAGAGACTGCAGCAGCATGCTCAGGACCTGCACAGGTTCAAGCCAGACAGAGTCCCAGCATTGAGAGTGGGAAATGGACACAGGGTCACACACCTAGTTATCTGTAACTGATACCTACTAGTATAGGGCAAACACGTTTTCTCCAGTGAGTCTCACTGGATATATCAACCACAGTCCAGAACAGGCCCCATGTCTATATGTAGTTAGGCAACACAAAATGAACTCAGTATATTTTTTTGTGGACTTTTTAGTTCATTTTGCTTTGTTTTGACTTTTTTGTTTCATTACTCTTTTGCTTCATTTTGACATTTGTTTTTGGGTGTGTTCTTATTTTTCTTGCTTTCTTATTAAGTGTTTGGATGAAGGAGTGAGAGAGAAAACATAAATTGGGTAGGGAAGGGGTTGGGGAGACTCTGGGAGGAGTTGTGGAAAACATGATCTAAATATATTGTCTTAATGGAATTCAATAAAATAAAAAAGACTTCAGTGAATGTTAGGCAAAGTACTGGGTTCCACATATTGATGCTTCTTCAGATAAAAAGAAAAATGAAAGACATTTTATAAACCCTCTGTTTTCAAGAATCCCAAAGTACGAAAACTGCTCTCATAAAGCGTTTTATCAAATAAATAAAATAAAATGCTGTGACAGGTATAGTGAAAAGAAACCTCTAACACAGCATAACTGAAGTCATTGCTGACATTAAATAGTGCTCTCTACTACAATATGTGAAAACATACAGGATCCAAAAGAAACTGGATGGTGTTTCCTTTCCAAAAGACTAAACGATTTTTAGGAAAGAGTGTTTGAAAAACTATTAATACCAAATACATTGAGTTCCTGGACCATAGGAAAACACATTTTAATTGAAACTAATTAGCAAAGGAAGATGGGATAGAGTTCAACTAGAGTATTTGGATTTGGTGATTAAGTGCATGTAGAAAGCTTGCCTGAAAGAGGCTTATAATATCTAACATTTCCAAGGTGAACCAGAGAGCCAGCTGCATGTTAACTGTATCATATAACATAGAAAATAGCTCTCAAATGCCAATAAAGCTGCACCTGATTTTTGCCAAGAGACCAGGTGTTGGTGGTGGATACAATATGTTCCACAGTTTGATGCCTGTGCTTTGTTAGAGGCACCCTAGGAGAGCAGTAATGGTAGCAGCTATTGCAAAGTCAGGGCCGCCACCTCCCCCTCCCCATTCTCCTGAATTATGCACATGTGTTAAAACTAAAGGGTGATACAAAAACTGTACAACTAAGAGAACATCCAATAATTAGGGTGTTTATCCTTTTGAGGAGGATAATGTTCTGAAAAGAACAGTTCTTATGGTAGGCTCAAAGATGCTTTGAACTTCGAAGGGCATGTGAATTTCATATTACTGTTATTACTCAGTAGGCATTTGCTGGCTTAATTCGGTAGCCATGTCTTATTGGCACTGATGATCACTAGTGTTTATAATGGTATAATAAACAGACCTAATTATTATATTTATCATTCATTCTTATCTTGATGACTCGTGTGCCCAGTGTTCAAATATTAATTTTATGTTGAGTTTGGATAAGTTTCCAGTGTTAAGGGAAGATACTGGAAACGGATTTGTGAAAACTGTACATAATGGCATAGTAATGCCTTGATTTGCCCCAAATGCAACATAAAACACATCTGTTAGCCTGAAGGCTCACTCATCAGGATTCATTGTTCATAGTTCTGAAAATCATCATTAAAGTATTGTTCAACTCCCATACCATGCTATGTGATTCCCAGTTAGCAGTGTAATCAGGTCTTAATTAGAATTCGACTTTGTTCCCTCTAAGCTGCCTAATGTCATCATCATTAGGAATGGATGTTCTTAAGTTGGTCCACATTTTAGGCCAACTTCATTTAACATTTTGTTCATTCAGTTTGAGTAGGTTCCATTTCTTTTTTGTTCTGTTAATGCATTTGAAACTGCAACATTGACACTGTGTATTATTGTTAAAATTGCATTACATATTACTTTGTGAGGTTGTATGTTTTCCTATACTGTTAAGGATATCATATAACAATGGTTTTCTATAAATGGAAATGATGAACACAAACTCTCTGGGCTTTCTATTAGAGAATCCAAAGAAACCAAAATTTAAATACAGTTATATATAAGACTATGTATGAGTCAATGTAATTTGTAGTTTACAGATTAGTGAATGATTTGAATCTCTAAATTTTAGGGTAGATAGAGTGAAAACAGTGACTCTTCTCACATGTTTGGTAAATTTTAACTTCATTTTATCCCTGTCTTTCAGGGTGTGGTTAGACCCACTGGGGGATATGCTGTAATGCTGAACTGGACAATGTCTTCCATATATGGCCTCAAACCCGGAGAGGTAATCAGGGTTTCACACTTCCACCACATGGCACGCTGCTGATTAAGACATGCATTTTTTTAATCTTTTTTTTTTTTTATTTTTTAGGTATGGTGGGCAGCTTCTGATTTAGGCTGGGTGGTCGGACATTCCTATATTTGCTATGGGCCTCTTCTACATGGAAACACAACGGTTTTATATGAGGTAACAAAATAGAAGTGATACTATATACAGGACACTTATTTTACTGGAATCCAGTTCTTGATGAGTAGTCCTGGATAGGAATAGTGAAATTTGGATGGCAGCAGGAAACATTATAGCTTCTTCAGTTAAAAAGATTATTTCAAGCGGGGCGGTGGTGGCGCACGCCTTTAATCCCAGCACTCGGGAGGCAGAGCCAGGCGGATCTCTGTGAATTCGAGGCCAGCCTGGACTACCAAGTGAGTTCCAGGAAAGGCGCAAAGCTACACAGAGAAACCCTGTCTTGAAAAACCAAAAAAAAAAAAAAAAAAAAAAAAGATTATTTCAAATAGAAAGGGATCTAAAAGAAAGTCAATAAAAACAAAATTCTGGGGAACAAGCTTAGAATCTATCCCAGGAGCTCTCTAAGTGGTAATATCAAAGGGATATGGATTTTAGACTCCTAAAAAAAAGCATTATCATAAAACAATCAACATAGATTCACATTTTTTTTACAAAATCAGTGGATTTACAAAAATATTTTTCCCTACCTTAAATAAATAATTTCTATGACTTCTAATATCAACTATGAATATAAAAAGAGAAAGAAACCTAGAGTGACTAAATGAAAAGCTGAATGGTAGACAACTTGAAGATTCTGATATAGTAATTAACGTCAAGCTGAAATAAGGTTTCTATATGTGTATTAGAGAATGTTGCTCATGTGTCTGTTTTCTGTAATCCTATCAGTGGCTCACAAGAAGCCATATCAACATACTCAGAGTTTTGCAGTGGTTCTCAACCTGTGGGTCACAACCCCCAAAGACCATCAGAAAATGGATATTTACCTTACAATTCATACCAGTAGCAACATTATAGTTACGAAGTAGCAGCAAAAGTAATTTTATGGTTGGGGATCACCACAACATGAGGACTGTATTACAAGGTCACAGCATGAGGAAGGTTGAGAACCACTGGAGTAGAAGTTAGCTCTTAGTGAAGGCTCCCTATCACTATATCTGATGACCTGAGTTCAATCCAGAGACTACACATGGTCGAAGGAGAGGACTGACTCTACCTGAAAGTGGTCCTCTGACAACAGGCACACCACAACATAGACGTAAGCATGTTCATATATGTGCACACAAGAAAAAAAAAAGCAAATGTAGTTTTCAATGCTTTTTAAACATCTGGGTGTGATAACAAATACAGTATTTTCAAAATTATCATTTAATATGATACTGGTAAGATGGAAAATAAAGAAATCTTTACATACTCCTATGTAAACCGAAATACAATGGAGTGAGTGGGGCTACAGAAATGGATCGGCAGTCAGGAGATCCTTTTTTTTTTTAGTATTTTTATTTTATGATTAACTTAGCTTCACATATCATCCACCGATTCCCCCATCCTCCCTCTTCCCAACCTCAGCCCTCCCCTCCAATCCACCCCCCATACCCACCTCCTCCAAGGCAAGGTCTCCCCTGGGGAGTCAGCCCAGCCTGGTAGACTCAGCTGAGGCAGGTCCAGTCCCCTCCTCCCTATACCAAGGCTGAGCAAAATGTCCCAGCATAGGCCCCAGGCTCCAAAAAGCCAGCCCATGCACCAAGGACAGGTCCCAGCTCCACTGCCTGGGGGCCTCCCAAACAGTTCAAGCTAATCAACTGTCTCACTTATCCAGAGGGCCTGCTCCAGCTCCATGGAAGCTCCTCAGCCATTGGTTCACAGTTCACGTTTCCACTAGTTTGGCTATTTTCCAAGCACAGTCTCAATATCTCTCGCTCATACAATCCCTCCTCTCTCTTGCTGACTGGACTCCCAGAGCTCCACCTGGGGTTCGGCGTGGATCTCTGCATCTGCTTCCATCAGACGAACAAGAGATCTTAATGTTCTTGGCAGGCAGGTCACCACAGCTTATAACTCCAGTTCTGTGGGATCTCTCAGACCCTTCTGGCCTCCATGGGCACCTGCACTATACAAATACACATGCACGTTCCTCCCTCCCTACCCGCCCCCCGACATAAGCAAAAAGGAAAAATTAAATTAAAATGCTTTAAAAGCTTCTCATAGAGATTAAAAAGGAGGATCATTAGTTGTCCATAGCTTTTGTGTCAAATTTTCCCACAATCTCCTATCACAGAAGCAAGATATTGATATACTGCTGTAAAAAATATTCAGCATGTGAGGTGGTATCATCTAACTTTTCCATATTTGAAAATTTGTTTTCAGCTCATATCACTGTGAAAGAAAGTAATTACTTAACCTCCAGGAAGAAATGGAGACTTTGGAAGGAGTTAGTTCAAACAACATGCTTTATTTGTATGTTGTTTAAGTATCTTTTGATGTTTGAAGAGCTACTGTGTTTTTGTAGTACTTTTGAAAATCCTCATAATACAATTATGGGGCATATATTTTAGGAATTATCAGGCATAAATTGAAATATCTGACACTGTGGTAGAATGGGCAGCTTCTCAATCTTAGGCTGTCTTCCATATCAGCAGTATCTCAGTAGAGAAAGGTATGATATTGTTTAGATATTTTGTTGCATTAAGAATTGCTAATTCAACAATTGTAAAAAGCATGTGAGGCCATTCTCTAGTCTTGGGAAATTTTCCTGGACTCTCGACCATTGTAAAACTTCCATCAGTTTTAGTTGGCTAGTTTGCTGTCCTTGAAAAATATAATAGACTTTGAAACAAGTGTTAAAACATCTCACACTATTCCACTTTTCTTACAAGTCTTTTCATATCCTGCAGACTTGATAGACATTTGGATGTTTATAATATAACACATGAAATAATCTTGACACATCTGCTCCATAGTAAACTCTTTGCAGCAGACAATTTTTTTTTCTTGAGATCATCATTCCTCTTGAAGAAAACAAAATAAATCCTAACAATAAATGCTTATACTGAAATGTGACATTGCCCATTCAAATGTGACAAAACAGAATTTATTAATAAGTTTTCATGGCTCTTAAGTTGACCTCAGAATTGAAACACTTAGAATAAGAATGTCTAATTTTTCCATTTGCTTTCCATTATTTTTCTTGTTTACTTAAAATATGTCCTAACACTGTCAAGAGAGCTTGGCTGTTTATCTTGGAAAGATGTTTTCAAAACAGTATAGAGGATCTATAAACATTTGTTGTATGACTGACAAGAAATATTTTAATTCCCAAACAGATCAAGCCAATCAACTGTCTCACCCATTCAGAGGGACTGATCCAGTTGGTGACCCCTCAGCCATTGGTTCATAGTTCAGGTGTTTCCATTTGTTTAGCTATTTGTCCCTGTGCTTTATCCAACCTTGGTCTCAACAATTCTCGCTCATATAAACCCTCCTCATTCTCACTAATTGGACTCCCAGAGATCCACCCGGGGCCTAGCCATGGATCTCTGCATCCAGATACCTCAGTAGTTGGATGGGGTTTCTAGCACAACAGTTAGGGTGTTTGGCCATCCCATCACCAGAGTAGGTCAGTTCGGGCTGTCTCTCGACCATTGCCAGCAGTCTGTTTTGGGGGTATCTTTGTGGATTTCTGTGGGCCTCTCTAGCACTTTGCTTCTTCCTATTCTCATGTGGTCTTCATTTACCATGATCTCCTATTCCTTGTTCTCTCTCTCTGTTGTTGATCCAGCTGGGATCTCCCGCTCCCCCAAGCTCTCTTTGATCTGTTTGGGAGGCATCCAGGCAGTGGGACCAGGTCCTGTGCTCATTGCATGAGTTGGCTGTTTGAAGCCTGGGGCCTATGCAGGATCCCTTGGCTTGGCCTGGGAGGAGGGGACTGGACCTACCTGGACTGAGTCTACCAGGTTGATCTCAGTCCCCAGGGGAGGCTTTGCCCTGGAGGAGGTGGGAATGGGGGGTGGGCTGGGGGGAAGGTGAGGGGGGCCATAGGGGGGAGAACAAGGGAATCCGTGACTGATATGTAGAACTGAATTGTATTGCAAAATAAAAATACAAATTAAAAAAAAAACATGCAATAAATTCTGTTTAAAGTGAAAAAAAAGAATAATACTTTCTTATGTAAATATGTATGAATATTACCCAATTACTTCCTGAGAATAAATACTTAGAAGTTAAAAAAAAAGAAATATTTTAATTCTTTTCTGTAAATTCTGAAATTTTCCCCTCTTACTTATAACATCTCATTTTTTTTTCCTGATCTCAAAACAAAACCTCTTCTGACTTACACCACTTCCAACTTTTGGATCTTCATTTTCTCCTATATAAGCTAGACTCCTTGAAAAATGGTCCTCTCCAAGTCATCTCTGCCTCATCTTCCTCCATCTCACTGTAATCTGGTTTCAGTCTGTTTCACTTCATGGAAGCTGCTGTTTCTAGAAGCTTCTATTGACTTCATAAGTGGTAAAGTCAAAGACCTCTGCCATTCTGATTCCATCATCTTTCTCAGGAGCCCTCAGCCATCATGACCAATATCTTTCCCCATTCTTATTTATTTTCCTTTGTCTCTTCTTTCATGAAGTATTTGTGTGTGTGTGTGTGTGTGTGTGTGTGTGTGTGTGTGTGTGTGTATGTGTGTGTGTGTGAATGGATGCACTTATTAAAGTTACTGACAGGATTATGGGTAAGTCATTAATAATAGGAGCCAATGCGACACAAAGGCAGCTGCATCACGAAAATGCACATCCCAGCGTGGGTGACAAGTTATGAAACTGAAGCCCTGCAGCTCCTTGTATGACTCACATGCAAATCAGCTGGTCAGAGAATCTCCTCTGTAGCATGAATTTTAAATGGTCTTATTAATAAAAACAAACCTAAGGCCAGTTATTGTGGTGAATGCTGGAAGATCAGAGAAGCAGAACAAGCCACAGCTACCTCACCTCGCCAGTTCCTCAGCTGGTCCTGTTTCCTCAGATTGGAAGCCTCTGAGTCCTCATCCAGAATGAATCTCAGCTGAATTGCTGCTAGAAGCCTGAAAGCTTAACCAGCCAAATGCTTATGGTTTCTGGTCCTCACACCTTATATACCTTTCTGCTTTCTAACATCACTCCCTGGGA